GAATGACTCAGAAGCAAAATTTTGGAAAAATTCTTTAAATTTTTTAAAAAATATTACACGATAATTAAAAAATTTTTTTTTTGCAAATTATATGAAAAATTCTTTGAAAGTTAAATATTTTGCATATGCACGTGCAATACTGAAAAGTGACTCCGGCCCCACAACTCTGATTCCAAAGCCCTGTTTTACATAGTTAAAACCATTTTTTTAAAACCACTCCTCAAGTTTCAATATTTTTTGATAATTATAATTTTTATATTGCCTCCATTATTAGTAATGATTAAGGTTTCCTGTTTGGTTATTTTTAGCATTTAAAAACTTCTTCAAAGAAAAATAAAATCATGAGGTAAACTTTTTTTTTTTTTTTTTTTTATTTTAATTCACCTCCTCAAGGCCGAGAAGGCCACTACAGACGAGGAGGCTACTTATTCGTGGCTATAACCCTCTCGGAACTCTATAACTCCGAAACACGAACCTTGACGAACAAGGCCGCTGCGCGGAGAAACGAGTTGAGCGCGGTACTACCAGGGACGTGGTGGGGATCGAACTCGGAACCACTCGTTTATGAAGCGAGCGCTCTACCACTACACCACTACCGCATAATCTGTCTGATATGAGATCTTCTGTAACAAAAAACGTTAATTAATCATTAGTTAGGCTTATTTGCTTTTTTTTAGTTACATATTTTAGTTAGTTTTTAGTTTGTTTTTTTACTTATATGTATATATATATATTTTTTCAAGTGTTTGAATGTTTCTTAATACTTGGTCATTTTTTCAATATTCCATAAGTAGAACATAATCTCTCTGCTACTCTTTTGATCTTCAACTTAAAAAGAAAAAGGGTTTTAAAAAGAAAAACCTCAAAGGCAATGAATATTCTCATATTCAATGACATAATCAACTATTTTATTAATTAAAAGATTGGGTAAATCACCTTTGCAACAAACTTTTCAGATTTTTTACAACAAACAAAAAAAAGTTAAACATTAGTTAGCCCTATTTGCATTTTAGAGACATTTTTTCCAGTTTTTAGTTATATTTTACTTTTAAAATTGCTGGATCAAGTTAGAAATATGATAGTTGATCAGAGACTTCAGCTTTACCTTTAAATCAACCATGGGCAAACTGCACCGATTGATAAGTGGTTCAAGAAACATTGTTAATGTCAACAGGATTTTCAGTACTTATGTTTATTATTATCTTAGAACTATTAAAACAATTTGATTTTTTTTTTTAAGTTAAAATTTTAGTTTCGCAATCAGCATTTTAGTTACACTTTTTACAGTTTTTAGTTACATTTTTTAGGTTTTTAATTTTTTTTTAGTTACTTATACTTTTTACATATTTTTTTTTTCAAGCGATTGAGTGACCAATACTTGGTCACTCAATCGCTTGTGAGTGAGTATGAAAAAAGTGAGTGAGTATGACCAAGTATTGAGTGACCAATACTTGGTCATACTCACTCACTTGCTTATCACTCTGCTCACTCTGTTACTCTTTTGATCGTTAGCATAAAGAAAAACCTAAAAAACGCAATGTTCAACTTATATTCAGTAACATAATCAGCTATTCTGTCCATGAAAAAGGCGATATGCTTTTACTAATAAAATATTTAGATCCAATTGGAAAGTTTAAAAAAAATTGTTCAAACAAAATGTTGAAGATTTCTTAAAATTTTATGATAAAAATCTGTATAAGCAAGTGTAATCTGTATAAGTAAGTGTAACCTGTATAAGCAAGGATGCATGAATAGATGAATATTTAACTTATGGCGCTGCCACTGATGAGCGTTATAATTTTTAGCACTTTTTTTTAAATATTTTTTAAAAAATAAACCAACAATTATTTGACATTTTTTGCTTAGTTAACTTCTTTTAATAAACATATTATCACCCACATAACACTAATTTTAAAGCTAAATATAAATGCATTTTATGTTATTAAGAATATCTTAAATGTTTTAGTTGATATGTAAATTGAAATGTAAGCTTTGTTTAACAAAAACTTATCTGAAAAAAACGTCAAAAAAAGACAAAAATAATATTTTTGTAAAAATACAATGTGATATATATGAATGTTGCATAGCAAAAAAAAAAATTTCTAAATGTGACCTCATGATCATAGATCATTTATGATCGAACTAGATTTATGATCGAACTAGATTTATGATCGAACTAGATTTATGATCGAACTAGATTTATGATCGAACTAGATTTATGATCGAACTAGATTTATGATCGAACTAGATTTATGATCGAACTAGATTTATGATCGAACTAGATTTATGATCGAACTAGATTTATGATCGAACTAGATTTATGATCGAACTAGATTTATGATCGAACTAGATTTATGATCGAACTAGATTTATGATCGAACTAGATTTATGATCGAACTAGGGATTAAGATCCCTACAATTAAATTTAATCTCTTAAGAATTTTAATTCAAAGATACTTCTTATTTTTTGTGAAAATCAAAACTTTTTTTCTCAGAACTTTGCTTTGACATTTTTTGGTGAATTTTTTATTACGAGTAGAGTTCTTGATGAGTTTATTGATTTTATAATTCAAAAACTTTTTGTTATATAGTTATACAGATGATATTGAATGTTTACTTATTGATTATTTTGAATGATTGTTTTAAAACAAAATAGTAAAATATATTATTTTTAATACTTTAAATAAAAATATATATTTATGCATTAAACATCCAACTACTCATTCTTGATGTAAGTAAGCTCTAAGAACAAAACTAATAATATAACTGAGATTCATTATACCTATTTATTTATTATTTATTTTTATATTTATTATTTTTATATTTATTTATTTCAAAGAACTTAAAAGTTTTACTTAGATTAAAAAGTTTGACTAATAAAACTATTAAATTATAACTAATAAATATTATTTAAAAACTAATATTCTTTTTTCATAGTTTCTTTAGGTTTTAAAACAAACTTATTGGAGACAGAATTTAAAATCAAAAAACATAAAAAATTTATCAAAACAACTTTTACTTAAGTAAAGATTTTTCTAACAACTTTTAATTAAGTTTGACATCTCAAATGAAATTTTATTAAATTTTAGAGTTTTATGATTCTCTTTTGTTTTAAAACTCGAGAAAAGTTCTTCAACAATAAACTCACCCTACTATCATACTTATATCTCCGCTGTGACAGTTGAGATTGGGTATTGCAATGGCTAATGAATTTTAACCTAAATGTAATTTTCTGCTGATAATTATGACTATAATATTCCTATGTTAATAAACGGAAACACTTTCCCGATTTTATTTAAATACTAATGTTTCATAAGAACCTTATGTCAAATTGATTGCAAAAGAAGCTCCTCTTTAACCCATTGCAAAAGAAACCTCTTTTTAAATGTGATCTCTATATTCTTAAACCTTATTCAACTCATTATCTTTTTTTATTTTTATATTTTAAACTAATTCAACAAGGCAACCACTATTTGAATTGGGAGTTAACAGAAACCACAGAAGAGCAAGTAAAATTATATAAGCCAAGATAACTTGAAGACAAAAGAGAATTCCAATTTAAAGATGAGTTAGATCAAGTTAAGATTAGAATCATCAGGTCAATTCAGGATCATTCAGGTCAGAATTAGGATCCCCCTGCTACTTATAACTTGTAATCTGGTACGACCCGCCGGAAAGTATAAGGTTTCCTGAACTTTGTAAGTTCTTAGAGAGGCTGATTCCATCAACAGCCATAAAATATCAGAATATTAAAAGTGTCATGTTGCACATGGATGGTGTCCCAATTAGTACTTTTGGCAAACATTGTCAAAACCACATAAAGAGTCCATTGTTACAATCTTGGGTTAATTAGTGATGCAACTGTTTAGCTTGTGTTATACACAACCTATGATTGAGTCACGATCTATGAGTCAAGTTCACATAGAACTATGAGTCATATTCACATATCACTATGATATCACATATTACTATGATATCACATATTACTATGATATCACATATCACTATGATACCACATATCACTATGATACCACAAATCACTATGATATCACATATCACTATAATATCACATATCACTATAATATCACATATCGTTATGGGTCAAGTTCACATATCACTATGAAATCACATATTACTATGAGGCAAGTTCTTTATTAATTTAAAAGTACATAAAAATATTAAACAGAAAAAACCCACCAGATTGTTTCAATTCTTTACAAATATTTGTGTTATCTGAAGTAAACTTTCATCGATTGAAAATTGAAATTGATCCCGTGAAAAATCACGGGACCAACTTGGACTCTGTGAAATTAATTTAAACTTGGTTGTTTAACTATATCAGATATAATGGGATCAAATGTGAATCCTCCAAATATTCTTTAAGTGCTTTCACTTAGCACCTCTTTCACATTTTTTTACTGTCCCTGCATGCTCTAAAAACTTTAATTCAACTAGTTTTTTTCCCCATACTTCAACCCTTTGGAACTCTCTTCCATCTTTATGCTTTCCTGACTCATACAAACTACAACCTTTTAAGTCTTCTATTCTTTGTTCTTCATTTTCTTGCTCTTTAACTCTATTCTTTGTTTTCTAATAACTCATAACTTAATGGTGGTTATTTGCAGCCTTGTTGGGAGTGAATTATAATGAAAAAATATATTCCTGTCGCAGTCTTTTAAATATGAGTCTAAATGTGAGAACTGTCATCATAACTTTCTAAACAAGTGAATATAAAACTGAATCTTGTTTTTCTGCTTGAAAATAATATCTTGATTCCAATCTTTAAAAGCTCTGAATACGGTTTTCTTACCCCTCTAGCTATTGTGCAACCAGAGTTGCACAATAGTTTGAGTGATTGTGCAACCAGAGTTCTTGATTTATGTTTTTTTCTACTAAGCAAGTTGCTTTTAACAACAAACTCTGAAACATACTAAGAATCATTACAGAAACTGTTAAAATAACAACTAAAAACAAACTATCAAAACTATTATCAAACAAACCTGACAAGCCAACATAAATGCGTTTCTTTCAAGAGATACAGAGCATTGGTTTAAATAGTCACTCATTGGAAAATCTGTAATAAAATACAAATATCAATTATATAAGCATTAAATTTTGTTAATTAAGTAATTTTATAATATTTTTTACTAACAGCTGCTACTGTTACCTATTCATGAGTGTTTGACACAGAATTTACAGAAGCCATTACACCCAAGTTAATGGCGAGAAAGATTCACAGCACTATTTTAATGAGAAAATGTGAACAAAAGTGTATGCATATATCTAACTTATGTAAGCTTCAAACTAAGTAATGTTAAAACATATATTAAGTTTTGAAGTTTTACTTTTAACTAAAAATTGCATTGCAGCAACATCTCCTTAAACTTTATTTATAATATTTATTTGCTGTTTTATAAAGTTTTTGCTTATTAAATAGTGTTAATAAATGTCAAACAAACCTTAGTGGCTGAAGTGAACCTTAGTTAGCTAGCAGTAAATAAAACATTTTTGAAATTCTATGATATTTTTACTTTTATAAAGTTTTGTTTTTATTTAAAAATTGCATTTTGGCAATACCTCCTTGATGACCGAGGCTCTACAGTCTTAACAGAATTCAACTTGAATCAACCTCATCAGAAAGAGACCTTGGTGTTTTTATTTCCAATGACCTAAAGCAAAATTTCCAAACATCTATTGCTGTAGTCAAGGCTAACAAAATTCTTGGTATCCTAAAATACAGCTTCATAAGCAGAGATGCTTAACTCTGGAAAATCTATATGTAACTTATAAACGTCCACTTTTAGAATTTTCCATTACTGCTTGGTGTCCTTATTTAGAAAAGGACATTTCTGTAATTAAAAGCATTCAATGGTATGTTACAAAAGTACCGCAAGAAATGAAAATAATTTATTGATTATAAATTAAAATGTATCAAACTTGGTCTCACTTCTCAATGCAAACGAAAAAAACAATTGGACCTTATTCAAAAATTTAAATTAGAGAATAAAATCAAGTTAGTTAACTGGTTTATTAATTCAATTAACATTCTCCTAAGCTATAGATATCGCATCCGGTACCATTGTGAAATCAACAAAAACTGTCAAGTCTGACATGGAATGCTTTGCCAGACATTATAGTAACATAGTCATAGTATTTAACTAGTCTGGAAACGCGGGCCATTTTCTTATAACACTTAATTTCGTCTCTATACTAGTGCTCAGCCTACATTAGAGTGCATCAAATTGTAAACATTGTATTTCGCTATAGTTAAGTTGCATATATTTTTGGGATAAATATGCTTGCAATATGAAATGGCAGGAAACTATTATATATTATTATAGTTTCAATATTATTTCAATATGAAATTATTGAAAAAATATTGAAACAATATTGAAATGGCAGGAGCAAATTGTGATTTTTTTTAGTCATTCAGTTTCAAGTTATTATTTTGGATTGCATATTTCCTATTCCGAATAAAAATCTTTTCTAGAAACAAGAAAAAAATCAGATACAATTTTATCATTTTAGATGGTTTAAAAGCACTTATTCCTGGAAAATACTCTAAGAAATTAGAAATTTCTATCCTAGGGTAGGATATCTGGTATACTCTTAATACAGCATAATTATCTACCTTAGAAAACTAAATCTTAATTATTACCTAAATTATATTTAAAATAATGATTAGCATATCAAAGCTTTGATATACTAATTATTGAAATGGCTAATCAAAGCTTTTTTAACTAAAATTCAAAAGCTTTTATATAAATTTTTGTTTTTATTATGCTGTATTGCAATTTATATAACAGCAAATAAATAAATATACTTGATGCAATAAAGATGAATCAAAAGTCTGCTATCAAATATTGCATCACAAACCAAACAATATTTATGTAAAAAAAAAGTACAGTGTATTACAAGAAGATTAAGAATTATTTTAAAAATTACAGTGTAAATAAAAGTTACAGAATTTTATTTCAAATCTTGATTTTAAGTTTAAGCTATAATTTATTATCTATTTTGTTGAATGCAGAAAAATATCTTCAAGTCTAAGGTTATCTTCAACTAAAATAAGATATTTCATTTTAATTATCTAGTTTCAAAGTCAGCTGCAGTGTATGATAAAAAAAGATATATGTAAGAATGGTATGTTTATACTGTGGAATGATATTGCTTATATAATCTAAGAAGATAGAGAACGTGACTTGTATTTTATCTAAATTTACTTTTGAGCATATAAAGTTGACAAAATATTAAAAAGTGTTAACCTTGCAGCCTGAGTAATAAGTTTTTGCTGCATTAAAAATTTTATTACATTATGGAATAGCTTATTTGAAAATTAATTTCGCCATTAACAATCACTTAGTACTTACTAGGATAACCCATCTTTTAATGATTTTGACTTCAATAATAACAAAATAACAAAACAAAATGCCATGCATATTTTTTTTTTTATTTGCATTCACTCCCAACAAGGCTGCAAGCAACCACCATTAAGTTGGGAGTTACTAGAAAAAAAAAAGAAAAGAGTTATAGAGCAAGGAAACGGTTGACAGAAGACTTGAAAAGTTGAGGGTTGTATGCGTCAGGAAAACATGAAGATGGGAGAGAGTTCCAAAGGATTGAAGTGCAGGGAAAAAAACTAGATGAATAAAAGTTTTTAGAGCATGCAGGGACAGATACAGTAAACAAATGAGACTTAGCTGAATGACGAGTAAAATGAGAATGAATTTTAGTTGATAAAACTGGAGATGATAACTCCTTTGAGCAGTGACCATGATAGTATTTGTAGAAACGAGAAAGAGATGCAACTTTACGACGATGGGAAAGAGGCTCAAGCTTAGCAGATAGTCCATTTATTTTACTACTCTAGGAGCTAATTATATATCAATAATATTTTTAAAAAACATGTGGCTATGAAAATAGCCGTTTTAGTAGGTTCAAATCCGCTCGCTTTCTCTTTAATGTTCTCATTCCAAAATAGAGGGTGTTTTTTAATTGATGTTCTTCATATATCAATTTAATTTAACATTTTTAAATTTTGAAAGCTTTCAGGTTATCTTTTGCAATGTAAAATCTATGAAGTTGTATATAAAATGTTAGATGATCATACATACACCAAACTTAGCAGCAACCAAATATGATAAATACTGCTCATGATTTATCTTAGACAAGTTAAAACTAAAATTGTAAAATTAGAGGTACCAAAAACATTCCCACTAGGTCATAATAGAATGTTTTGTTTAGTTATGTAGTAATGATACATACAACGTTATAATATCATTGATAAATAAGGTACCAGTCAGATAAACAAAGACAAGATTTGCTACTTTAAAACATGAAAGAAATTGTTTTTTCAGAAAATATTTTGCAGAATCAGCGGTAAAAAACTTAAAAAACAGCATTTCCATCAAATGATCAGTTACATTTTTACTAGGAACTAAGCTGTAATGACTTCGTCTTGAAATATTTATACTTGATTTTTAAATTTTTAAATACAGCTTATAGCAGAGTACCATTTATCTGAAGCAAGCTTTACTGCAATCTAGATTAAATAATTTTAAAACCTTATAGGATGAAGAATAATTGTTGCTTTTTTTTATTCTTTACTAAATGTTTATTAGTAATCTTGTCCTTGTGCTTGGTGTTAAGGTGACGAGTCACCTTGTGATATACATCGCTTCTTGCAAAACAAACACATAAATATTCTTTCTTCACTTTGGTTAGGATAAATCAAATTAGGTAGTCTAGTATTTGAACTAAAATTGAGGTCTGTCTCCAACAAATAGCAACTCAATAGTAGCTAAAACAGCATTGAATTCATTCAAATTTTCAAAGTCTGCGCTACAAAAAGTCATTTTAAAAACAATTGATGCACTCTCAGTCCGGTCACTCTTAAAGCTCAAGTTATTTTACAAAATCTATAGAAAACAGCCCGTGTTTCCAAACTAGTTAAATATTATGACTATGGTTGTATGGTAGGCGGTGCAATATATATATATATATATATATATATATATATATATATATATATATATATATATATATATATATATATATATATATATATATATATATATATATATATATACATATATATATATATATATATATATATATATATATATATATATATATATATATATATATATATATATATATATATATATATATATACATATATATATATCTTTGAATGTCATTTTCTTGTTATACATTAAAATATAATTAGAATTCAATAAATACGGCTGCAAACAAACTTTTTTTTAAATATATGTATATATTTTTTTTCGTTAATATATAATTATTTCGATATTTTGAAATAGTGCACAATAACTATTTTTGTAACTATTTTATTTATTATACCTGATGACGCTGATCACAATAGAACAGCAAAATATCGAAATAATTATATATTAAAGAAAATATATATATATATATTTTAAAAAAAGTTTATACGCAGCCGTATTTATTGAATTCTAACCATATTTTAATGTATAACAAGAAAATGACATTCAAAGATATATATATATGTATATGTATATATATATATATATATATATATATATATATATATATATATATATATATATATATATATATATATACATACATATATATATATATATATATATATATATATATATATATATATATATATATATATATATATATATATATATATATATATATATATATATATATATATATATATATATATATACATATATATATATATATATATATATATATATATATATATATATATATATATATATATATATATATATATATATATATATATATATATATATATATATATATATATATATATATATATATATATATATATATATATATATATATATATATATATATATATATATATATAGTCAGTAAAATTTCCATAGTTCCATGTAGTTATTTCAGATTTTACGTGGAAGTTATTTATAAAATTTACTGCAAAAATTATATTTATTTGACCTATAGCAAGCAAATATGTTTATGACAATTTTATGTGTTTCTGAAACAATTGAAACTAAATTTTCTAAATTTTTATAAAATCTGGTTTATATA